GTCATCATGTAAGGACTCAACAAACCTCAAACCCCAACAAACCTAGAAAAAAAGAACAAGCAAACCAAATTTTTTAAATTCCAACTAAACCCCCAACAGACTTGTCGAAAACCACACCATCTATAAAAACTACAAACTAATTTTAGATACGTAAAAATAATTTCTCCAAAATTAGTTTTAAATTCTAGTAGTTGTGCAAGATCAGTTTCAAAATTCCAACAATTTTGCAAGATCAATTTCAAAATTCATGTACTTATGCAAGATCATATTAAACTAAACATGGTAAATACCAATATTAAACTAAACATGGTAAATACCAGAAATATATATGACAATATTTGGGAATTTATTATATATTCATTAATCTCCAAAGTGGAGTATATATAGGAGTTACAATTGGTATTACATATGTATTTCACCAATTTGGAACAATAAACTACTATTTACACTTTAACTAATATATAACTCACAACACTCCCCCTCAAGTTGGTGCAAAGATGTCACGCATGCCCAACTTGTCAAGTGAGTTGGAAAACACACAATTAGAGTATAACTATTAACAACTAATCTGGTTTTATACCGATCAATAGAACCATCTGTTTTGTGCTTAATAGTAAACACTCATCTACATCTAATGGCTTTCTTCCCATTTGGTAAAGGAACCAAATCCCAAGTAGAATTCTTTTCCAAAGCTTCCATCTCAACTTTCATGGCATTAACCCACTTAGGGTCAGACAAAGTATCTTGCAATTTTGTTGGAATTGATACACTAGATAGCTGACATATGTAAGATGCATATGGTTTGGACAAACGATGAGTAGACACATAATTTTGATAGGATATTTGGCTTTGGCATGCATATCAGGCTCATATTGTACTTTAGGTTTTCCACGATTAGCTCGTAAAGGCAACTGATAAGTAGAAGAATCGTCAGAATTTACCTCATGTATGCCACCATCTTGTACCAAACTGCTAGAAGAATCATCACTGGACGAACCATTATCAGGCAACTTATTAGACATATCAGCAGCAGGCAACCAATCATCAGAAGGTAATTCGTCAGGCATACTAACATGCAACTCGCTGGGCACATCTGATCTGTCGTCAGTAGAAATAGTTCTGGGAATAACAGGTGACTGATCACTATCTGTAACTGACTGATCAGTATCACGCAACATAATAGGTTCTGTTCCCAACTCTGCCTGTAACATATCATCCATACCATCTTTTCGAATATGCACTTCACTCCCCATCTCTCCTTGAAATGGAGAGTCGGAAGAGGGCTTCCTTATGGAAGGTGACATCCATGGTAATATAAGTTTTTTGAGTTAAAAGATGATAACACTTATAGCCTTTTTTATTGTTAGCATACCCAATAAAGACACACCAGAAAGCACATGCATCAAGTTTACTCCGCTGATGAGAGTAGACATGCTCATATGGAATACACCCAAACATTTTCGGATGAAGCTTTGATACAGAAACAAGAGAAACATGTTTTTGTTGCACATCGAACGGTGTCTGAAAATCAAGAACCCTACTTGGAACACGATTGATCAAATACACAGTAACCAAAATAGCATGACCCCACAAATGATTAGGAACACATTTATCCAACATTAATGAGTGAGCAACCTCTATTATTTGACGATTCTTTCGTTCGGACGCACCATTTTGTTGGGGTGTAAACGGAGTAGTCGTTTCGTGAATAATACCATGATCACGAAAAAAACATGCCAAAGTGTGATTCACATATTCTCATTCGTTATCAGACCTGAAGACCTTAACTTCATCAAGAACACCCAAGTTAACTGGGTACAATCATTAATAAAAGTAACAAACCAACGGAATCCATTAAAAGTAACCTTCGCCAGACCCCACACATTAGAATGTATCAAATCAAATGGCAAAGTAGCTTTAGAATCACTTACAGGAAATGAAGCACGATGACTCTTAGCCATGACACATGTTTCACACTTGAACTCTGAATCACTACAAGTGTGAAACAAAGAAGGAAATAGATGTTTCATATAACTGAATGATGGATGTCCCAATCGTCGATGCCACAACCAAATTTGATGTCTGTCATCCACTTTAGCACTTAAAACTTGATGATTATTTGAATCATAAACAACAATATCCTCCATAGTCAAGATGTACAAACCCCCTATTCTTTTACCATGACCAATTATCTTCTGAGTATGAATATCTTGAAAATAACAATACGTAAGGTAGAAGTGAGCAGAACAATATAAGGTATCAAGAAGTTTTCCTACCGATAAAATATTGCACTTAACATCAAGAACAAGTAAAGCATGGACTAGTGATAAGGTTGGAGTCAGAGAGATAGTGTCTTCACCCTTCACATGGGATTGTGCTCCATTTGCACTAGTAATATACGAATCACGAACATAGTCACATAACTCATCAAACACTCTAGGGTCACTAGTCACATGATCAGTGGCCTCAATATCAATTATCCATAACAACACTATGATTATATTGAGTCATTGAACAAAATCACGAACAATAAAGGCACAAAAGATACGCAGCGGAATGAAAACAATTTACCAGAATACTGTAGCAGAGACATTGTTTACGGCATTGTAGCAGAGACTATTCACGGCACTGTAGCAATCACTGTTTACGATACTGTAGAGGACCACTGTTCACAAAGCAGACCGCTGTTCACGCACTGTACTGTAGCGCGACACTATTTCACTTTTTTTATTTTATTTTATTTTTTACGAAGGAAATCACGAAAAATGTGGGCACAAAATTAAAGCACACAGGTCACCAAGAGCGAACTGCTCTGATGCCATATTAAACTAAACATGGTAAATACCAAAAATATATATGACAATATTTGGGAATTTCTTATATATTCATTAATCTCCAAAGTGGAGTATATATAGAAGTTACAATTGGTATTACATATGTACTTTACCAATGTGGGACAATAAATTATTATTTACATTTTAACTAATATATAACTTGCAACAGATTAGTCTTAAAATTTCAGCACTATTGCAAGATTTGTTTCAAAATTCCAATATTTATGCAAGATCAATTTCAAATGCATCCAAACCATCGAAACCTCGAAATCAAATACCTCAAAAAACAAAATACTACAATAAAAAATCTAAAATAAAAAATCCAATGGTTCTCATAAAAGAACAAACACTGTTAAAATCTAGAGAACAATACGTAGAAAAAGAGGAGGAAAGCGAATTATGAAGAAGAAGTAGGGGGAGAGAATGGCAAAGGAGGAGAGAGAGATAAACAGAGAGGTATGAAGAAGGAGGAGAACAAAAAAGAGAGAAATACTGAAGAAAAAAGAGGAGAGAAAGAAAAATAAGGAGATAGAAACTCATGGTCAAACACAGAGGGGTAAAATTATAAATACAAAGGCAATTAAATTTAAGTTAATAATTATGATATTACGTGCCATATGGATGAATTTCATCCTTCTATGAAATACATAATTTTTTTGTCTATTTTCAAAATATAATTTTGACTTTATGTCTAATTTCTCATACTTTTAAATATAATATTCAATTTTTTTTTTTGTCAAATGATATATTTGTTAGATCAGAGAGTCGACGAGGTTCGAACTCCCATCGTGGTGCAAGAAAAACACTCATATCTACCACTATAGTAGAAGACCACCTGCATGATATTCAGTTTTAGCAGATTATATGATTAAATTTGATGGGATACTAGTTAAGCCGGACAATAACCTATTAACAAATTATAATGGAAGAATTCACATACCCATTGTCTTCTTCTTTATGGGATCATAATATTACGACTATAGATTATGACCTCACATTCAGATCAAATACAATGTTATATGTATAGGGTAGGCGATTGATTACTTAATTTCGCTCGTTATAGGGATAAATACCAAAAGGTAGGCGATTGATTGCTTAATTTCGCTCGTTATAAGACGATGAAATTTTATTAGATTACAAGGATAAATACCACCCGTTTATCGTTGATAAATAAGATTTTAGGTTGATAAAACGAACGGCTATAATTAGCTTAATACATTATGTGTAAGTAAAATTTTCAGATAATCTTATGTTAGATACGGAATAAAAGCACACGTAACTGAGTTCTAATTAGCGGTAGATTTTTTCACATAAAATCAATTAAGGGAGATTTTTTTTACATATAGATTTTGGCTTGAAGTAAATATATAAAAATCTTACCCTAATTTTATCACTGCCTAGTCTGCCTTATTGACTCGTTCTTATACTCCAACATCTTTAGGCTCTCTCTTGTTGGGCTTTAGACTTTCTCTTGAAAAAATAAAAATAAAAATTGGTAAACCTTATTATAACCTAGTAAAATATAAAAGAAGAACTTATACTCATTGTCTTCTATATTGGCAAGCATATCAAAACATTATGACTATAGATTATGACCAGCCATACTGATAAAATCCTATGTTGTACATAACACTTACCCTAATACAAAAGAATTGACGATTGAATTGTCTTGCTATTTATCCAATGGTGAAATCTCATTAAATTTCAAGAATGAATATCACCCGTTGATCAATGATCAACAAATAATTTTTTGGCAATAACATAAACGACTATGATTAGCTTGATATATAAGGATTGTAGGTAGGTGAGATTCAAGAAAATCTTATGATAGATACGGAATAGGATGTAAATAAATGAATTATAATTGCCGTGGATTTTTTTACCAAATTACACATAGGGGTAGATTTTTTGGTACAAATAGATTTTGGCTTGAAGTATACATATAAAAAGTCTTAACCTAATTTCACCACTGCCTTCGTGATTCATTCTTCACTACAACACCCTCTGCTCTTCGTCTTCTTCCTCCCCTATATATATACGGCTTTCACCCTGCTGGTCTTTCTCTCACGTGCTTTTCTTTCTCTTTTTCTCTTTCTTCTGTAACAAAATAAAGATTTTACATACTCGAAGCTAATATTTGTGCAGGTTTATTATATAAGTATGTCAATGGGTAGCAGTAGTTCTGCAGGGGAACCAGTTGCTGGCCGCCATGCATGTGCGGCATGCCGACACCAAAGGAAGAGGTGCGAAGAGGATTGCGTTATGGCTCCTTACTTCACAAACAAAGATGAAGATTTTAAAGCAGTGCACAGAATATTTGGCGTTAGCAACATGACAAAGTTGCTTAAGCAACTAGAAGACCAAAATCACAGGGGTACGGCCGTACAATCTTTCATATGGGAAGCCTATATGTGGAACCAAGACCCTGTGAACGGACCTCTAGGAAAGTACAGAAAATTAGAGAGAGAGAATGAACTGCTTAGGAACGCATTGAATGAAGAACAAAAGGCTTTGGCCTTGGCTGCATCCACAACGGAGGAGGAGCCACTTGCTTTGGGCCAAGAGAATAATAACAATAGTGGCAATATCGCAGATGATGTGGAAGGAGTGATACCTATATATGGAAGTTCTCTGAATTATGGTTATGCTAATCAAAGTTTAGCAATTGATGGTTCTACTAATGGCACTTATACTAATCTATTACAAGGGCAAGAGGCCACTGAAATGTCACAAGGGCAACAAGTATTAGGGCAAGGGAGAGGCTTTCATCATGGAGTTGTTTTGGTCAAGCAAGAAGCACCAGACCAACGAAGAGTAGTTGGCCTCGGTTCTTCTTCAGAACACTTTGGGTCAGTCGGTTTGATGTCCAGCCCTACGTTTCAGTACCAAAGGCTTATGCAATTTGAAGGACTCCCTAATATAGGGCCTCATATAAATGGGCATGGAAGAGGTCAAGTGGTTTTTGACCCTTCTGTTGGGCAAGAACAGCAAAGAGCATTAGGCTTGGTAGGGGCACCTCAAATTGGCCCAAATTTTGGTGATTTTTCTTTGGAAGGCCACAGGAGATCAACTATTACTCAAAGACATGATGACCGTTATTCACCTTATCATCATCGTCAACCACAACAACAACAACAGCATCATCCTGTGAACGCACAGAGGCAGGCGATGAACCAAGGGCAAAATCACCATAACTTTCAACGATACAGCTCGTTGCACAATTTCCACAGTTACGACAATGTTCAAGGTAAGTATAATACAATAATTGCACTCTTTCTCTATCTTGTTCAAAAATTGGTTGTGTATGATAATGGGCATGCACATAGCAAATTATGTTGTAACAAGGTCGAGCAAGTGATTGGCGAAACTACTTGTCTGTTTGACGTGCACCTGTATCATATCATCATATTTATGCATTGTGTTTTTCGTATTCGAAGTTTTGTCATGTGTTATCATGTTAAATTGTCAATTTTAATATGTGACCGAATTAGGTTAATATTTGTAGTAGTTAGAAGAAGTGAGGTAAACTGAAATAGTCTATTGTGAGGGAATCTTATTGTAGAAGTATGTGAATAATGATTGTATTGTTGCATCAATATAAAAGTCTATGACTTGGAGTCCAAGTATACAAATACAACTAGGACAATAAACCTAGCCTAACCCCAGGAAGAAAGAGAATCCGAACCGGATTCGCCTTCACTGACACTTATATTTCTGATGTGTTATGATACAAATAATTCAGTTTGGGTCCAGTTTTGGGATGAAGGATTCAAAGTTGTTTGTGGCTTACTACTCATTAGTGATTTTTTGACTGAGACTTGCTCTATGTTTTATATGATTGTAGATGCAGAGCAGTTCAACCAAGTGAAAAGTGAAAGGCCATGAAAGATCCAACGTGGAAGGCAAACTACTCCTTTACTTCTAACATCTATAGTTTTTTTTTATTTTTTTTTTATCTTTTGTCAAAGTTGATCATGCTCCCATGTTCGTTCCCATTACTTATGAGGATCAAGTGGGCAGATCAATAACACATATTTAATTGAAAATTAGTTAAGGTAATGCCTCCTTCATCATAAACTATTTTATTGTCTTGTTATTTTGTTTTTAATTCATGTATGAAGATAGATTCGAACTCGGAAACTAGTAATACTACTGAGCTAGAACTTTTCTCCTCTTAAACTTTCATAAATACATAATACATAATCAGCTAACTTTTGGATTTGATCCCATGTTAACCCATGGCTTATAGTTATATTATATGTGTTGTGCACTGAAGCATACTAGAACTTAGCTTGGGTTACGAGTTTTTTGGAGTGTCAATAATAATTTTGTTTTTTAATACATACGATATTATCTACACTAAGAGGTGGAGATTTGGCCAAGCCTCACAGTCGATCAGCCAAATAATTTCGGTCGAATTCGTCTTTGGCGAGAATCGAACCTAAAGATCTTTCACTTACAAATGAAGAAAAATACCCTTTAACCATGATTGGTGGTCCAAAAATGTCACATGCAAGCCCAATAACGTCTCAAAGCCCGATTGTCCATGAAATACCTCGAGCCAAGATTAAATACACGGAAAGGTGCAAAATAAAAAATATTTACAATCATGCCATGCTAATAAAGTAATAATTTATGGGAAGAATATGTGTACGTATAATTGCGCCAGGCCTGTACAAGCCTATGCATATTCACCATTTCAAGCTTTGTCACGACATTGCATCATAGACAAACCATGCTAACTATAATACATATTAAAATGAGCCCAAACTACGTGTCCGGACTTGCTAAGTGGATTCTGGTGTGGACGATCACAGAAGATTATCGTGCATGTGTGGAATCAAGATTATAGAGGACTTTGGGTTTCTTGGGAGCACCAAAGATCTAAGCCTACAATCTTTGAATCCCGCGTAGGTAAGTCTGGGAGAGAACAAACCAAAATCCTTTTTCTCTTACACTATGTTTGGCTGAAGAAGTTTAAGATTACTAAGGAATTTTAAAATGACAAAAATTGAAATGATGGAATTTTAATTTTTAGTATTTGTGAATTTTCTTATTTGGTTAACCTAAAAGAACAATGGAATTTAATACAGAATTTGTTATTTCTAAACTCTCAATCATAGAAATTGGAAAATGACACATGTTTACATGAAATTTAAACTTGGGATTTGAAGGCCCCAAATTCCAAGTTTTTTTTCCACGCGAAAATTCTAAATTTCTATGTTTATGAATCCAAACAAGGGAATTGGTGTATGTCAATTTATAAATTCTGACTTTTACCTAAATTCCAAGTTTATTTCCCTCATCCAAACATAGTGTTACCAAACTAACTAATCCAGTTAGGAAGAAACTAGAATCCAAAATATCAAGTTCACGTGAGAGCCTAGTGCATGGCGTCCATTAGTGAAGAAAGAAGGGGTATTTTCCTTCGGGTAAATCGCCAAAATGGTCCCTGAGATTTGTATAACTCATCACTTTGGTCCCTGAGATTCCAAATCGATAAAAGTAGTCCCTGAGATTGTCCACCATCCATCATTTTGGTCATTCTGTTAAAAACTCCGTTAAGTATCCCGGAGCTCTTGGCTGGAAGTTTGGGCAATTTTCAAAGCTTCGTAACTCAATTGTTTCTTAACCAAATTCGACCTATAATATATCAAAATGGAGATAGGAAAGTGTAGAATAAGATTATACCTATTTTGAAGTCCAATGGTTGCCGGAGATTTCCGGAAAATAGCCTCAAAGTTGAATGGTCCGAGTGAAAACTTGAAAACTCGCCAGAAACTGGGTAAACTTTAAACGTTCATAACTTCTTCAATACTTAACGAAATCAAGTGATTCAAAAATGAAAATCATACTTCTCGACAAGAGAAAGAGAATGGTACCTTTTTTATGGCTAACTCGTCGTGGTTTGGCCGAAAAACATCTCGAAAGTTGCTGTCTTGGTCTCGAGTTAACCATATTCGAGCCGATTTTCGGCCAAAGCACGATGAGTTAGCCGTTTAAAAAGGTACCATTCTCTTCGTATCGTCGAGAAGTATGATTTTAATTTTTGAATCACTTGATTTTGTTGAGTATTGAAGACGTTATGAACGTTTAAAGTTTACCTAGTTTCCGGCGAGTTTTCAAGTTTTCACTCGGACCAGTCAACTTTGAGGCTATTTTTTTGCCATCTCCGGCAACTATTAGGCTTCCAAATAGGTATAATCTTATTCTAAACTTTCCTATCTTCATTTTGATATATTATGGGTCGAATTTGGTTAAGAAACGATTGAGTTACGAAGATTTGAAAATTGCCAAAACTTTCTGCCAAGAGTTCCGGGACACTTAACGGAGTTTTTAACAGAATGACCAAAATGATGGATGGTGGACAATCTCAGGGACCACTTTTATTGATTTGGAATCTCAGGGACTAAAGTGATGAGTTATGCAAATCTCAAGGACCATTTTGGCGATTTACCTTTTTCCCTTCTTAACTCATGCTGAAGAATGATGAAGAAAAACAAAGGGGCGGGTTGTCAGAAGCAACACCTCTAAAAGGCTGACTAGGGAAGAATGCAGTCTAAACCAAGTGTGCAATACAGTCTTCACGGGAGCAACAACGTCGATCAATGTTACGTTAAAAGGAAAAGTCATAGCTGTGTTGAGGAATAAAGAGAGGAAGACTTGTACAAAACAGGAAGAAAAAAGGAAACCAAAGGATTCCGTAATGGAAACCCAGGAAATCTATCATTATCCTATGAAAAGGTATATGAGACAACGTAAGCAAGGAACATTACATAACACAATAGAGAAGGAAAACGGATAAGACAGAGGATTGTATCGCACCAAGTGGGGAGATCTTTCTCTAAGTGCAGGCAATCTTGGATCATTAAGGAAATCATCTTTCTACTGTTTTAAGGGTTCCTTTATGTTTCCTTTGAATTTTCTAAGTCACTATTGGCATCCTCAGACCCTTAGGAAACCCAAATTATTCATCTTTCAAAACCATGCAACCATGCACAAGTTCTCTCTCATGATAAACTGGTAAACTTCTAGCTTCCACACCACGCTTCACTAAAGCAAGCCATTATTTGCTTAATCACATTATCTTTAAGTCATTGATCCAACCATAATACTTCTGAAGATACGTTAATTCTTACAAGGTATTCAGAGACTTGGTACGTGAACAAACCAGAAGAAGTAAAAAGATATTTGTCAAAGCCCAAGTTCAACTTGACTAAAAGTCTCCTAACAACCATATACTAAGTGACATGTGTCAAATTTTTTTAATATTAAACATTTAAACAAAACATATAGATAAAGATGATAGAAAAAGAGGCTTACGTGGGATCCACACAAAATTTTGACCTAGCTAAAGGGCTTGATATATTTGGCAAGCATGTTAACTCTTTAGCCTGTTAAGGTGCATACCAGAGTTTAGGAAAGCCCGTTTGTTGAAGATGAGTTTTGGGCTATTGCAGGATAAAATGATCTATTGGAACCATGGCTAAAGATGACCTTCGGTAAGTGTCGAGGAAAAACAACTTTCTCTCCTTCCCTGAGAGACCTTCTCTCTTCTGTGAGAGTTTTCTTCCCCCTTTGGTAAGGGTTTTCATCTTGTCCACCTTCTCAGGCGCTGACTTTGGCTTTGGCTGGAGCCTCTTTTCCTTTTCTTCTTCTATTTTCTTCTTTTCTCCCATTCTCTGCTGTGTTCTTCTCTTTTCCTTTTCTTCTTCTGATGCTTCTCCTTATTTTTCCCTCAGACATGTCCTCTTCTTCATCTTCCGTCAGTATTCCTCTCCCCATTTCTTCCTCAGTTCGATCTTCAGCCATAGTTCCTTTTGAGTTCGTGTGTAGAGCTAGGGTGTTGTTCCTGACTCAGGTGTTTCCCACACTACCACGTTCTCCTTGTTGTCTATTGTTTTTGGCAGTGTTGCTCATGGGTTTTCCCGAGCTTCTTCTCGGTAGTTGGCTAATCCCTATTTGGTGCCAACTAGCTGTTTGGGGTTGGCGATGGTGTCTAAGATGCCGTTGCTCGATGGTGGATGACGTTTCCTATGGTTGGCCTGGATCTCTGTCGATGGAGGAGTTTTTAGTAGAAACTTTTCGG